AAGAGCATGTCTACTTCCCATACTTAGTCGTGTGGAGCTTCTCATACTCAGTCACCGAGAGCATGTCTACTTCCCATACTTAGTCGTGTGGAGCTTCGCATACTCAGTTACAAAGAGCATGTCTACTTCCCATACTTAGTCGTGTGGAGCTTCTCATACTCAGTCACCGAGAGCATGTCTACTTCCCATACTTAGTCGTGTGGAGCTTCTCATACTCAGTCACCGAGAGCATGTCTACTTCCCATACTTAGTCGTGTGGAGCTTCGCATACTCAGTTACAAAGAGCATGTCTACTTCCCATACTTAGTCGTGTGGAGCTTCTCATACTCAGTCACCGAGAGCATGTCTACTTCCCATACTTAGTCGTGTGGAGCTTCTCATACTCAGTCACCGAGAGCATGTCTACTTCCCATACTTAGTCGTGTGGAGCTTCTCATGTTGCTCTTCCTCGGTTTCGCTCGGACTTCTTCATACTCGACTCTGGTTCACAAGTATGGCTATATCAGTTTTCAAAAGGAAAAATAAGTAAGCGTTACACTGTAACCTTCCCAGCCTTAGTGGCAGTCTCAACAACAGCCTTATCCTTGTTCTTATGTCCCTTCGGGGACTGTAAAGGCCTTACCCTTCCCATTTTACAACAGAACAATTTTGTTACAAAATTATTATTATTGTTGCGTATCAGTTTGATAAATTTGAGTCAATATGAGTTGCATGGTTGTTTATAGATATATTTTTGAACATTATATAAAATATTGAAATGGCCATACAATAAATTATGCTTTATTTGTTTAGTATTTTGTATCTTCCGGTTACAACATTCGATCATTTAAATTATAAATTAGTATTTATCAACCTAATATTCTATGACTTTGTGATTAATATTTTTATTATTTTTAATTTTATATTTACTTATATATATTTTTTTTCACCATCATAATAAAGTTCAATACTTTATATACTTTATTTAAGTGGAGATATAAGATTTAAAAATTTATTCATATTCATTCTATGTTTATAATTAGTTTCAGCATATTTTTTTTCTTAAACATATATAAATACAAAATACTACTACTAATTTTTATCTAAATATTTTTCTAATAGTAATAATTTTATGGTATATTTATCTGAATAAATTTCAATAAGATAATATGTTGCTCCATTTGTATTTTTTTTAAATCTAGTTTCGTAAAAAAATAAATTTTGAAAAGATAGATGAAATTAATTTTAAATTTGTATACGTGATATGGATGTCAAATAAAAAATCGTCAAAATGTGATTACTTTGATAAATCATATCTGAAATACAAAATATACATAAAAAATTATTAAATTTTAAAATATGATACAAAAATAAATAAATTTTAGTAATTATGAATAAATAATATTAATTTTTTATGGTAAGATTTAATTTTTAAAAAATAAAAATGATATAAAAATAAATTATATATACCAAAATTTGTAAGTGAAATACTTATGTCAAATATTAAAACTGTTTCTAAAGCAAAAATGTATATATAAAACAAATCGTCTAAAGATGATTAATTTGATAAATCATATCGAAAAACAAAATATGGATAAAAAATGTTAACTTTTTACAAATGATAAATAAAATGAAATTTAAAAATTGAGAATAAATAATATCAAGTTCATATGTTAAGATTCAATTTTGAAAAGAGAAAAATGAGATAAAAATAAATGCAATACTTATCAAGATTGTAAATAAAATACATATACAAAATAACAAACATAAATCCAAGACAACAATGTATATAATTATAAACCAACTTAGAAGTACATAATTTGATATACACTTAAAACTAATACAATTCCCGTGTATTACACAGATGTTGCGTTAAGAAATATATGATAAAAATATTGCTAAAATAAAAATTTTATTTAGAAATTTTGATGGACTAATTGATGAAAAAAAAGGAATAGACAGTGCAGAAAGTGATTTATAAATCATAATTTATGAGAGAAATATGAGAGAAAATTATAAGTTGATAATATTCTTACTTGCCCAAAATGTGTACTAATAGAAAAAAAATTAAATGTACACTTACCTAGTTTGAAAAAATTATTTATGTTTAATACCAAACTTAATTCCAAAACAAAAATTAATATACAAACAACATTAGAAGCATAGACTTTCGTCATGTCAACATGAGAAACGTGCACACTTAGACTCAACACATTTTAAATTAATATAGAAAAATGCTACATTACCAACCTTATGTAGAACTAGGTTGACAATGAAAACTTATATATCACCAAGACTTTTTTTTTTTTTTGGTACAATTTATCACGACGACTTTGATATTGGGGGAATTGATCGACGAGTATGGAGAATGAGCGCAATGGCAAATTAGTTCACACTTCACACACACACACACTAGACTGGAATTCTGAATCCAAAAACTTAATAAAGCTATCTATGGCACAATAATCAAATGCGTTCGATCCTGAGACGAACCCACGTCTCCTCCGATCAAATCAATGCAATAATCAAATCCGTCGCTCAGCAGGGCCACTTTCAGGAAGCCCTACATTCATACTCCATTTCCCCAATCGACATCTCTAGGTTCGCTTTCCCCTCTCTCCTCAAGTCCTGCGCGGATTCCCGCCATGGCGAGGCACTCCACTGCGCCATCTCCAAGATGGGCCTCCACTTCGACCCCTACATCGCCACCTCACTCGTGCGCATGTACTGCAAGCGTGGGGCCCTCTCCAGCGCAGCCGAGCTGTTCGACGAATTGTCCCAGCGCCAAGATTTGGTTCGTGACGTGGCGCTGTGGAACTCCATCCTCGATATGTGCTTCAAATGCGGGGGTTTTGAGGAGGGCATTGCCCTGTTTTCCCGGATGCGAGCTTTGAATGTGAAGCCCGATGGTTACACTTTGTGTATTCTTCTTGGAAGTTGTGGTTATGTTTTTTATGGGAAGGAGATCCATGGCTATGTTGTGAGAAACAATTTTGGTGATGACCCTTTTGTGATTACTGCTATGATTGGTATGTACTCGAGTTTCGCTCGGCCGATGGATGCTTGGAATGTGTTTGACAATCTCTCAGAGATTAACCAGAGTATTACGGCCTGTAATGCTATGATCAGCTGTTTTTCCATAAACGGACATTTTGAAATTTGCCTGGAATTGTATTATTCAGCGAAACGCAAGGGCCTTGAGATGGGTTCTTCAACGTTTACGAGCGTGTTGACTGCTTGTTCACATGGTGAGTCTCTGGATTTTGGCCGACAACTGCATTGTGATGTTGTGAAAACGGGTTTCGAGCGTGATTCTTATGTTGGCACATCACTCTTGACCTTTTATGCCAAGTGTGGATGTGTTGAGAGTGCAGAAAGAGTTTTCTGTTTGGCTAAAGATTGTAGAGAAGTCGGGTTATGGAATAGTATGATCTCTGCTTATGTTAGTATTGGCCGTCCTGATGATGCTTTGGGTATATACATTCGCAAGCGAAGGGAACAAATTGTACTTGATGCTTTCACTTTATCAAATGCCTTGGTAGCGTGCACTATGATTGGCTCCTACTGTTTGGGCCAGTTGATGCATGGGGAGCTTATAAAAAGGCCTGTAAAAGAAAATGTTGCAGTGCAGAGTGCATTACTAACAATGTACTCGAAGCTCGGGAGTGTAAAAGATGCGTGTGAAGTTTTCGGTGAAATGGAAGTAAAGGACATTGTAGCTTGGGGTTCCATGATATCTGGATTTTGTGAGAATAAAAAATTCAAGGAGGCGTTGTATTTGTACAAAATCATGAAATCCGATGGTATGGAATTAGATTCTAGCATTATGGCTAGTGTAATTACTGCTTGCGTAGGTAATGTTGATGAACAATTTGGTTATTGCGTTCACGGGCTGGCAATTAAGGAAGGTTTGGACTTGGATGCTTTTACAGGCAGTAGCCTGATAGAGTTTTACTCAAAATTAGGACATCCCGAGATAGCTAAGAAAGTATTTTCCAACGTTTTGCGAAGGAATCTTGCCCTTTGGAATTCTTTAATCTCGTGTTATTCCGAAAATGGCCTTCCAAATGTCTCCCTCGACCTCGTCCCTCGAATTCTCTCAGACGGCCTGTTTTTGGACTCGATAACAGTGACCAGTGTACTTTCTGCAGTTTCACAAATGGCAGCTTTGCTTAAAGGAAAGGCCATACATTGCTACCACATAAAATTATTACATAACCGTGAAGTTCATGTTCAGAATGCGTTGATTGATATGTACTTAAAGTGCGGGTGCTTCAGATATGCACAAAATGTGTTTGATAGAATGCCAAAAAGAGATGTGGTGGCATGGAACACGATGATATCCGGTTATGGATCACATGGCAATTGCGAGAGAGCTATTAACTTGTTCGTTGAAATGCAAGATTCAGGAACTCAACCTGATGAAATTACGTTTTTATCCCTCATTTCCTCTTGCAATCATAATGGTTTTGTCAACGAAGGCCTGAATCTATTTCAATCGATGAGAGAACACAAAATTGAGCCAAAAATCGAACATTACATAAATGTAGTCGATCTCTTGGGTCGAGCTGGATGCTTAGAAGAGGCATTTAATTTTATAGAGAAAATGGCTATTGCACCCGACAGAAGTATTTGGCTTTCCTTATTGTCTGCATGTCGAGTTCATAAAAACATCAACCTAGGAGAATTAGCTGCGAATAATTTAATTAAATTGGAGCCTGGCAGAGGGAGCAATTACATTCCGCTGTTGAATCTGTACGTGGACGAGGGACTAAAGGATAAGGCGGCAAATTTGAGGGCGTTATTGAGACAGAAGGGATTACTAAAGGTGCCTGGGTGCAGTTGGATTGAGGTGAAGAATAAAGTCCATGTTTTTTTCTCGGGGGATTCATCTTCAGAAAGGATAGCGGAGATTTATGAGATTCTTGATAATCTTAGGAATAGCATGAAGAAAAGAGTGTGTTGTTTTGAATCTGCATGGAAAACACATGTACTATAAAATGTTGGTAATTGTAATTTTATATATTAAGTATTTATTTATTTATTTATTGAGATTTTCTTTTAAAGATTGTTTTGGTAGTTGAGAGGCGATTTTTGTTTTGGTGGTAGCATGTATGTAGAATTTTGAAATGTGAGAGGACATTATTAACCTATAACTAGTAGAACAAACATAGTACACTCGATGACCCTTAACCGGTCAGTGTACCGGTAATTTTGAGATTTCTACACACCTATAAAAAGAGAAAATTGCAATTTTAGTCCAGTAACTTAGGTTGTTTCCCACTTTAGTCCAGTAACTTGGACCGATCTAAAATTGGTCCAAAAACTTCCAAAATGTAGTTAAATTAGTCCAATTCCGGTTCCCGTCGCCGGAATCCGAATTGCCAACTCAGCACATTCCGATCGGATTCCGGCGACGGGGACCGGAATTGGACTAATTTAACTACATTTTAGAAGTTTTTGGACCAATTTTGGATCGGTCCAAATTACTGGACTAAAGTGGGAAACAACCTAAGTTACTGGACTAAAATTGCATTTTTCTCCCTATAAAAAATAACATAAATGAGCGGAGTTGTCAATTGTGATACTGATAATATAATTTTCTCCATACTTGGGACATGATAGACAGTCATGCACTTGTACTTGACTATGATTAAACCATGTGTGATCACTCTTTTGTCAGTATAGGCTATTGGCACTAATTAAAAAATATATATTTAAATTATTAAGAGTGTTAATTAAAAAATATATACTTAAATTTCTCAAAAACTAAAAGAGAAGATTTTTTTTTTATTTAAACTTCAAATACTTCTAATAAGGTTGTGTTACTATTAATATTTAAATTACTCACTTATACGACTTACTCATCCTACATTATAGTATTTTGTCTAATTTACATTACAGATTGGAGTCGACAGATAAATTAAAATCGAAGTTCATCAAGAGATAATTGATTTAATATATCATATCACAAACTTATAGCAAATACAAAACTTAAAACCTTTTGAAGTATGTTAATAGTTTAAGTTAATCAATGTCTTAAAACTTTTTAAAGTTCTAATAAGCATGGATAGATGTCTAATTTTATAGACTCTGATGCACAAAAACCCGAAAACAAAAACACTCACATATACGTATATAATTGTAGACAAAGTTTTTAATAAAATTATTTTGGTTTTTTTTCATCATCAGTTACAAACATATATTATTAATTTTTTTCCTTTAACAATATTCAACCCTCTCATTAACGCTCTCGGGACATTTTTTTAGCTATTTATGGTTGGAAACCGTTATAATTATTTTAATTAAGTGTAATCATATAGTTTTTACTATTATATTATATAATAGTTAATACTAATACCACAAATAATAATTAAAATTAAATGTTTTATAGAAATTACATAAGTATAAAAATTTCTATTGCAAATTTTTTTCCTCAAACTCTTTATTCTAACAAGAATAATAATAATAATAACAATAATAATAATAATAATAATAATAATAATAATAATAATAATAATAATAATAATTTGTCAACTAAATTAATTAGACATGATCTCGTAAAATTATAAAAAATTATATTATTCACAAACTTTTTAATAATAATGTTTTGTCAACTAAATTAATTGGACATGATCACGTAAATGATAAAAAATTATATTATCCACAAACTTTTTCAATCAATATTGGGAGTCATATATACATAAATAATTTATATTTATGTTGTTTTATTTCTAGTAATAATCAAAATATAAAAATGTGATATGTCTATTATCTAATTTATAATTTTAATAATAGTTTTACACATATAACATACAATATTTTATTTATATGTGTGCATGTGCACATGATTGTTACTAGTTATTAAGAATCACAAAAAATTGACACTTACGTTTCATTAACTCATATTTATTTCATCTTATGCCCTCCTTTCGCCATCCATGTAAGAGCAAAAGAAACAAAGAGCTACGTGCTATCTGGCCGCCATTTGACTGCTAGCAGGGCTGTTGCGGGGATCCATTCTGGAACCCGACGTAAATCGGCGTCCCTTGTGATGCGGCTCTCTGTATATCATTTGACGTCTTCTTTAGGATTAAATTTGGGCTTTTTATTTAAATTTTACTAGTCGTTTGAGTGAACTAGATTGTTCTGGTTTGTCGGCTTTAGATCTGGGGCTCTTTCTTCGTCTTTAGAATGGATAGCCTCAAAGTGTGTTGGCGGTTGCTACCGAGTTTCTTATGGTAGCTTATTGGAGGACAGCTGATGGTGTCTTTTGGCTTGGTCTTGGTGGTGGTTACAGTTTAGCTAGAGAAGGTGAAGTTTTACTGTATTTTACTTTTAGTATGTATTTTTGTGTTTGTATTTATTTTTTTTCCTTTTTTCTTTTTTGGTTTTTAATTCTTCATTATTGGAGTTTGTAGTTTCCACTTGTAGGAGTATTGTAGTTTTTGTATTTTATTTTGTGTTTTGGGCTTTTAGGCTACCTTTGTGAAGACCTCCCTCTAGATTCAAGTTAGTAGCTGATTGGTTCAATTGTATTTGGTTGTTTTCTAGAATGTAAGTACTTGCATTTATTAATCTGATGTCATATATGGGATACCACACCGGGTAGAAAAAACCCGATAAGCCGATTGACAGGTCGAGTTAGGGACTTCGGACGACATGGTGGAAACTCGACCTAAAGGCATCATTGGTCGTGTGATCGACCAAGAGGACAGGGCACGGAAGCTCGATATACGCAAATTATACCTCGGCGTGATTTGGGCCAGTCGCAAGATTAGGAAGTCTAATATGACAAGCTAATGGATAAGAAGGAATATTTTAAGGATAAGGACTATACGTGGATAAGGCCATCTGGCCTAGCAAAATTGGGCTGAACGGGCAGTACAAATGGGCTAATCAGGTAGTTTGGGCAGCTTACTCGGGCAGTCTTGGACAATAAGGTAACATCTCCCTATAAAAGGGAGTGAAGTATGCCCTTCAGAACATTACACTCTCTATACGCTTACGTACAGTACTGTTCATCGTTAGGGATGAAAACGATCGGGAACGATCGGCATAGGGCTCAACCATTTCCACTTTCATATTTTTTTCTCGAAAACGAAAATGATACGATAATGTCGGAAACGAAAACGACATCGGTATTCCGGTAATATCGAAAATGAAACTATCCGATCGAAAATACATCGATAACGATCGAAATATATTAAAACGGTATTTAAAAAACGATAAACACACCACATTATAAAATATAGCATTAAAACATAAATTGAAATATTCTCACGGCATAATAGTGGCAAAATCCAAATTAAAATCCACACCATTTGCTATAACAAAATCCATACAAATTCCAATAACTAGCAATTGAATTGTGACTTGTCCATCAAATTCTCATGGAATAATAGTAGCAATTGAAATTTGAAACATGAAATGGGAGCAATTAGGTGAGAAATCAACCATGGAACCACCAAATTCACAAAAAAACCACAACAAACGAAATCCAGAATTCAAAACACAAATCACTATTGGCGTGAATTCAAAGTGGGGTAGGCGGCGGCAGCTGGAGCCTGTAGCGGGTGGTGCGGTTGCGACGTTGATGGGAGTGGGGCGCGGCGGCGACGAGCAGGTGACGGGAGTGACGACGAGCAGGCGCGGCGAATTGCGATGGCCGTTGGCCGATGGAAGAGATGACAGGATTGGGCTGAAGGGGATTTCAGGATTTCGAGAGTGAAGACCGAAAGGGGTGAAGGGGATTTCAGGATTTGGGCACAGGGTTAGGCTGAAGGGGATTTGGGCATTTGGCCCATTTGGGATTTGGATTGGGCTTTATAATTAAAAGTGAGCCTAGTATGAGTTGGGCCGGTATTACTGACGGTAAAATACCGTTTAAATACGGTAATTTTCGAAAACGATCGGAAAAGGGCTAAACCGTTTTCGTTTTCATTTTCGAATTTTTTTACCGTTTTCATTTCCGTTTTTCCGGTTACCGTTACCGTTTCCGTTTAGCCTCCAAATCCGAAAAAATTTCGAAAACGATTCTCGGTAATCGGAAATTACCGTTTCCGTTTTCATCCCTATTCATCGTCTTCAACAACTCCATAACTTAAGCATCAAAGGCTCTTCACTGGAAAACCCCCTCCGGTGTCGAGTGTTTGCAGGTCACGAAGGTCATCTATCGGCGAGGAAGGCAAATAATGTAACGCCACGAATATTTTAGTATTTATGGAGCCTGACTTTATTTCCATAAATAGCAAGTTTCCTTTTTGATGCATTTATTCATTTTATTTGCATTAAATCGAGTATTAAATTCTAGTCTAAGCTATGGAGAATTTATTCAATTTTTAAATTTAAAAATTGAATTCAGTTAGTCCGAGTATCGGTTTTATTTTTAAGATAAAACCGAGCTTTAGAAAAATTAGAATTTTATTTAAGTCGGGCCGAAGCCCGGACGAGCCGAACCTCGGTGCGAATCATCAAATCGAATCTGAGCCATATTCTAGTCGGCCCATTAAATCCACACATCCCATTTATTATTTCGGCCATTCAAAAGTTGAGCCCAATTTTCCAGGCCCACTTAATCGAGCCGTTATTTTATATTTTGAGCCCATTAGACACGAGTCACACGACCCGTTAGTTTTTGAAATTTGAGCCATATTATTAATTCGGCCCATTCATATTTGAGCCCATCATTTATTTTTAATTCAACTCGAGTAATTATTTTTAGTCCAAGTTCGGTTACATTTTAATTGGCCCGAACATTTAATTTTTTAAGCCCAAGTCAATATACAGTCTAAGCCCAAGCCTAAATCCCACCAAAACCCTAACTCCCTCTCACTACTATATATATATCATTCACTAGCACACATTCATCATTTTCCCAACACACAAACCCTAGATCTTGAAGTTCACATAGCAAAAATATCATCTCCTTAGCCCTTCACATTAAAAAATCTAGCCAAGTTCACGTTCTTCGGCGAACCTCCGAGCACCGACGAGCCA